ACATCCGATCTCAAAAGCAGTCTTGAGTACTCTGACTCTAACAATCTTTCAACTCCTATCTGCCACCTTCCCTGACACCACACCTGCATTCCAGGCACCATCACTTCTGTTTGCTCCCCCTCCCCCACTCCTGCAGTCCTGCTTCCATACACAGCCCAGTCCCAGGAGAGCTCTATTGCGCCAGTCCGGTGATAATTACCCTTTACTCCTCAGGGAAGCTTCCCGATTCTTTAATTTTGTTGGTTTGGTTTCTGAGATAGGAGTTGGCTGAGTATCTCTGGCTGTCTGGAACTCTTGTAAGACCAGGTTGGCTTTGAACTCAGAGACCTGCCTCCCAAGTGCTGAGGCTAAAGGTGTGCGCTACCACCTCCTGGCCTGTTTTTGTTGTTGTTGTTGAGATGGGTTTTTAAAAAACAATTATTCACATTTATTTAGCTAGTTAGTAAGCCTCTATGTGTGTCTATGTGTTCCAGGACACAAATGTAGAAGTCAGAGGTCAACTTGAAGAACTTGCTCCTCTCCATCCACTATGTAGGTTCTAGGGATTGAAACTCGGGTCATCAACTATGTGGCAAGTGCCCTCACTGACCCTCTTGCTAGCCCCAAGACAGTCATACAACATAGTCCGGGCTGACCTTGAACTTGAGGCAGTCCTGTTCAATCTCCTAAACGCTAAGGTCACTTCTATATATACTCAAACTTTAGCAATGAACATAAGGCCTTGCCTCTCTACAACACTACACAGTGTCACCAATTCGCCATTTCTTTAGTAATTAAATATATATTGAGTAATTGTTAACCACGGCATAGTTGATGCGCATGTGTACATGACACTGACTTAGACCTGAACCTTCCAGCTAGCAAGTGTCTTTTCTTGGACACGTCTGTAAACCCAGACTGCGGCAAGAATTGGAAAGTCTGACACCTGACTGGGCAAAACAAACAAAGGAGGGAGGAATTAGTGGTGAATCCCTATAATCCAATATTCAGGAGTTCAAAGCCAGCCTGGTCTAATTCTGAGTTCCAGGCAGCAAAGGCTACATATAGCAGGTTTCAAAAAGCAAACTGACAAATAAAATCAAAACAAAGAGGCAGGGGTATGGCGGAGGTTCAAGTCTTAAATCCTAGTACTTGGGAGGCTGAGACAGTAGGACCACCACAAGTTTGAGGCCAGGTTAGGCTAAATAGTGAAACCTATCAAGAAAGGAGAGAGAGAAAGAGAGAGAGAGAGAGAAAGAAAGAGAGAAAGAGAGAGAGAGAGGATATATCCTCAGCTGTAGCCACTAATAACAACCCCTGTGCACATTTACTGCGTTGCCTTTCAAAAGGTGGGCCCTGCCCACCTTCAGCTCTTCAGCACTCTTGTCCCCGAGGACCAACGGGTCTCTGTCCCCCTCTCTGTCCGTTCTCTCTCCTCTTCCAATAAGCTTCCCATGTGAGCCCTGCTGCATGGTGTGGCCTCTTCGTGGCGTTTTTAAATTACAACAGAAGGGGCGAAGGAAGGAGAAGGAAAGAAAGAAAAAAATCAAACCATACACCGAATTGACCTGAAGACCCTAAGGCCCAGAGTACACTATGACCTAACACACATGCCGCCCCCCCCTCCCCGCGCCTCCACCGCCCGGCGCGAGTCTCCGAAAGAACATATGTAACAACGACAACAAAATTTTTAAACCAAACAAACTATACACAAGCTTTGTTCTGTGTGGAAAAGTAGCAGTGGGATCAGGAATTCAAGGCCATTCTCTCCTACACTGCAAGTTCGAGACTGTCCTGGACTATATGAACACCTGTCTCAAAAAGTCAAAAACAAAATAACACACACACAAAAAGAGAGTATGCCCCCTGAAGTCTCGCCCTCTAATAACTCTAGGTTCAAACAAACGTTTATTCCAGAAGGAAGGAATAAAAAATAGAACGCCCGAGAGAGGCCTCTGCCGCTCAGCCTTCTGGGAGACGTAGTTCCGGCCTCTATGGCGCAGGAGTACTGAGGCACGTTCCCGCTAATGCGCATGTCCGGGAGGCGGGGAATCGCGCATGACTGAAGGGCGGGGCCGCTGCGGGGGCGGAGCATCACAGGTACCTGGTGAGCGCTCTGCTCTGCCGACAGAATGGCGGGCAGGGGTAAACTAATCGCGGTGATTGGAGACGAGGACACGGTGACGGGTTTCCTGCTGGGCGGCATAGGGGAGCTTAACAAGAACCGCCACCCTAATTTCCTGGTAGTGGAGAAGGATACTACCATCAATGAGATCGAAGACACGTTCAGGTACGGTAGCCTGTGAGGCCTAAATGAATGGATCCTTCCGCTTGTAAGCCTAGAATTAGCGGCCTGTTTACCTGGGTATCAAGCGGCGATAGGGATCGAGATGGTCCTGGAAGCCATCAGCCCCTCCGGAGCAGAGGCCTCCGCTTCCTAAGTTCCCTTTTGGGGCTCGGAGGGGCCCGACGTACGGCAGGTCCACGAGCTCCCCGTCACATGATTGTGTGTCAGGGTTAGGAGAGTCGGGCTTGTTGTCCGCTCCTGCCGTAATTGGACGCCGGGAGCCTCCAGTCGGTGGGGACCCGCGGGTTCAGCGCTTCTTCCGGGTCCCTGACGCTCACCTGTAGTGTATTCTCTGGATCTTACGTTTCGAGTTGCACCCTAAACAAACCACATCCAGTGTGAGTCTGGACAGTGGGTTCGTGTTTGTGTGTGTGTGTGTGTGTGTGTGTGTGTGTGTGTACACGCTTCATTTTTCTTAGAGGCTCACAATTGTCCTGTAAGGTAGTGGTTATTTCTGCTTACCGGCGAGCAAAATAAAGGGCGGATAGGTTAAGGCACAGGCCCAAAGACACAACCAGTCGTAAGAGGCTCAACCTAGGTCAACTCTTTCTCCTTTATTTGTTTGTTTAACTCAGTGATTCTTTGTGTAGTCCTGGAACTCGCTCTGTAGACCAGGCAAGCTTTGAACGCAGAGATCCGCCTGCCTCTGCCTCCTGGGTGCTGGGATTAAAGGTGTGCACCACCACTGCCGGTCTCTTTTTTATTTCATTTTTTTAATTACCGAGTCTCTGTGTGTGGTGTGTGACCGTGGATGGAGATCAGAAACCAACTTTGTGAAGTCAGTTTTCTCTTTCCACGGGCTAGTTCTGAGAAGTCAAGCAGCCAGCAGACACCTTTACCCACTGAGCCGTCTTGATCGTCCCCTTTGCCTTTCTTAGCTAGTGCCAACTCTGCACTCTTCTCTGCAGTCTGCCTTGGGGTTTCCATTTGTCTTGAGCACATTGGGCAGAACATCTGGAAAGTATGGCCTTCCACAAAGACCTTGGGCTTCAAGCCCTCACTTTGTACCCTGGGTCAAAGATCATAGTTCCAAAAGGTGGGTGCAGGCCTTCCTTTTAAGCCAGGAAGGGCCCTGTTGACCAGAATCGAGGATGCCAACTCTCTATTCTTTGCCTCACTCCTTTTCCAGGGCTACTGTGCCAAATGTCAGGAACAAACTGCCCTCACCTGTTTTCCCTAAATAGCCCAGTCAAGGGATACTGGCTGAGACTAGTTCCCACTGCCTGAGATGTGGCAGACTCAGACCTGGGAGACTGTAATGATCTCTAAGCAATGTGGCAAAGTGACCTCCAATGTCATTGGAGGACAAATTTTACTTCTAAGAATTTCCCATGTTTCCAACAAGAAGGGATCCTAACATGATTAAGTCAAATCTATTCCATGCTTGGCACAAAGTGGGTAAAATAAATTGTTATTCTTGTTTTGTTTTTCAAGACAGGGTTTCTCTGTGTAGCCTTGACTGTCCTGGAACTCTGTAGACCAGGCTGGCTTCGAACTCACAGAGATCTGCCTGCCTCTGCCTCTGAAGTGCTGGGACTGAAAGTGTGCTTCTACCGCCTGGTTCTCTCTCTCTCTCTCTCTCTCTTTCTCTCTCTCTCTCTTTCAGTAAATTATTTTTAATGGGTAGATGTGTGTGCCTGTGATGGGGGGGGAGTGATCACATGATAGGAAAACCATAATCATAATGACAGTCTCTGTCTGGAAATTGTGATTCCGTCATTGCTGAGTCTCCTCTTTCTGTCTGTCTTTAGCTTATGGCAAATGCCATCCTGGCCCATCCCCCTGCCCTCAAGCAGTGTAGACCTTGAGGCCTTCGGTGTTCTCCTCAGCCCTATATCTTAAAATTTCTACCTTCTCCACCTTCATCAATACTAAGAGTCTTATGTTTCTAGACTCTTCTTATGCTGATACAAAGGGCTTCATACCTACTTCCCTCTCCTCCCCTTTCCTACCCAGAGGCAGCATATAGAACACACTGATAAGCACCCTGGTCAGTATGGTTCTGAGCTTCTGAATGCAATTGCTTCATCCAAGGAAAGCTATGGTTGAGACCCTTGTGCCCCTGGTCACTGCCATTCTCCTCCTCTTCCCCAACAGGCAGTTTCTAAACAGGGATGACATTGGCATCATTCTCATCAACCAGTACATCGCAGAGATGGTTCGGCATGCCCTTGACGCCCACCAACGCTCCATCCCGGCTGTCCTGGAGATCCCATCCAAGGAGCATCCTTATGATGCAGCCAAGGACTCCATCCTGCGCAGGGCCAAGGGCATGTTCACGGCCGAAGACCTGCGCTAGGGCTCCTCAGCCGCCAGCCCCCTCTCACTACCAGGCCTCTCCCAGTTTGCCATCCTCTATTTAAGTTTCAAGCCTTGGTTTCCGGCCCCTCCCTTCCTCTTCACTGAGTGGCTCCTAAGCTGTTGGGGTTCTGCTGTTCAGATCCAGGCTGGTTAGGGAGAGAAAGCCCAGCCATCTTCTCTCCCCACCCCCTCCTCCCTGTGCTGTTACACAGTGTCATTGTTGATATTAAAAGAATATTCTCTCCAATCGGATGCTGGGATGGATACGTGAGGGGTGCAGTGTTGGGGTACATTAGATCGGCAAATAGGCGGAAGCTACCAAAGAACCAGGTGACAAAGAAGAGTTGAGCAGGAGCCTAATTCAAGGACTGGTCATCTACATCATAGACTGACTGCAGGGATGGAGGACAAAGTTTGAGCCCAGTCCCTACCTTTGTGCCTTTACTCAGTTTTCAAGGTGCTGGGAGGGGCCTTGCTTGCCCAAGCAATAAAAGCAGTTGCATAGGATTGTTATTCTAGATCATTCTCACTCAGCCTATGGTTCAAGACCCTTTGGTGTGCTCTTTCACAAGGGTCACCCAGGACCATCAGAAAACACAGATATTTGTATTATAGTTCATAACAGTAGCAAAATTACAGTTATGAAGTAGCAATGAGAATAATTTTATGGTTGGGGATCACCACAAAATGAGGAACTGTATTAAAGGGTCACAGCGTTAGGAAGGTTGAGAACGACTGCTCTTGCTAGAGCTAGGAGCCTTCAGGTTTGGGGATCAAGGTGTTTAGTTTGTGAGCCCTGCCCCAGGCTGTCTCAGGAAGGGTGACCCAGGACATCTGCTGAGGGCAATGGCAGGTAGAACTCTGGCCCTGTGTGAGGTGAGGCTCGGTTGCCAGGTGACTGTCCCAGGGCAGCCCCCCACTGTCTCTGCCCGCTGTGCTCACTCAGCAGTAGCCACCTCGATAGTGCTTACTCCCTTGCCACCATGTCGAGGCAGCTCAACATGGACACCCTGCGGCAAAACTTCTGGAAGGAGGAATACCTCAGAGAGATGAAGTTGCGCTGTGAATGGCACCGCAAGTTTGGGGCTCTGGTGAAGGCCAAACAGAGGGCTAAGGCCGCAGCTCGCCTGCCCCTCAAACTGCCCACCCTGATGCCTAAGGCCCCGGAGTCACCACCACCTGTCTCCAGAGCAGCCCTTTCTAAGGCTCCCAGCCCTGCCCCAGAGGTTCCTTTACAGTCAGAAATGTACCCAGTACCACCTGACACCAAAGCCCTGCTCTACGAAGGCATCTCCCATGACTTGCAGGGTCGCTACCAGTATCTCAACGCCCGAAAACTGGACCTGCCAGAGATGCGCTACCTGTTCCCCATCACCACCAACTTCACATATGGCTGGCAGCTGGGTGAGCCCCAACCTCCCAGAAATGAGTCACCTCACAGACATGGAGCTTGTGCCTTACGCTGGAGAACTGGCATCCTGGGGAAGGCCAGATTGTGTAAACAGGGCAAGGAAGTAGATTTAAGGGACAAGCCCTGTGAAATGAAGGGATGGTGGGGGCAGGGGGCGGGCCCATGTGCTTCAGGTTGAATTGTTAGCAAAGGTCAGTCTTGGGGCTTTTAAAGCTGAGGGTAAATGATAGGGGTAAGGCTGAAGGTAGGTTATCAGCTGGGACAGAGACAGGAGGAGAAGCTTGGTGGGAAAGCGCGAAGGCCACGGGTGTCACTGCTTTGATGAGGGCCCTTGAGTGTCCGTTTACTATTAGTCCGGAATTTCTAGGAAGTGTGTCCTGTTACCTGAGTGTGCAGAAATTTTGGATGGTTGGAGAGCAACACAATTCCCTCATATCCAACCCATCCCCTCACAAGTAAGGGGAACAGCTTCCCAACAAAAGCAAGAGGAGGCCCCAGAAGGGGATGGGGTAGAAGGAAGTTCCATGTCTCCACAGTCTGTCCCTGTGACAATCATAGCTAGAAGCACACTGACCTAGTGACCCTGGCGGAACATCTTAGAACTGGGTTGCCATGGCCGACAGCTGCAGGCCACACTGCCATCACTGCTGAGTCCAGTTGTCCACCACCCAGACGTATTTTCCTGTAGCCTTCACCCCTCGGAAACCCTACGGAGTCGAGCCATGGGCGGAGTCCTAGGGATATGTGGCAGGACACTCCTGTACTCCAGAAACCCACTCGTAGTCTGACGTCTCTTCCCAGGCCCCCCAACAAAGCAGGAATTGGTCTCCTGCAAGATGTGTCGCATTGAGTCGTTCTTCCGTAAGAATGGAGCCTTTGCACTACTGGACCCCCGGGACCTGGCCCTCTGACCTTGGGCCAGGCAGTGACAGAGGAGCAGAAAGAGGAAATAATAGGATTTTGGTGGAGCTGCATTGCTGTGTGTGTTTGTTCTCCCTGGCTTCGATGCTTCCCTCGGAACCTTTCTGAAACTGCTTCACACTTGGGGTTACCCTCTAGCTTTTTCCTTAGCCATCATGTTCATATCTCACGGCGACCTAGCATGGGCAGGAGCAGGCTGGGTGGTGTGCGCACTATTCTCCAGGACTAGGCTTCACAGTGCCAGGGGACAGTAGCTCCTGGAAGTTCTGGGTGTTCCTGGGAAGACAGTGACTTGTCAATCAGATGTTAGGGCAAAGTAGTGCCTACCATTCCCTGCTCGCCCCTCACCTGGTCCCGAGTGCCCGCAGCCACTGAGTCCTTCCTCGGTGCACTTGTTCCAGCCGCTCTCGCAAGGTGTGTCTCCATCCTGCCGCATCCTCCTAGGTGGCAAGAACCGTCCAGCGCCCGCCCCTCTCCCGCTGGACCCCTTCGGAGGCCGCTGGCTGCTGTCCTCCCCACCAGGGGCAGAGCCGTGGTGACCGAGCCACCTTTCCCCAGATTCTTGCCTGTAGTGCCATCTGAGCCGCTCTGGGAGGGAGCACCAGCGGGTGAACCCTGCGGTGATGGTTCCCAAGGATGCGGAGTCGTTCCAGGACCTGGGGAGGCGGCAATGAGCTGGGCCTGCACAGGAGACCCTCCCATCGCTTCCACCACCAGCAGGCCGGGCCCTGGGACGCACCCGCAGCCGCTGATGTTCGCGGTCCTGCCTCCGCCGCTCCTTGGCTGCACCGTGCAGCTCCAGCAGCCGCTGCAGAGCCTCCTGCTCAGTGCGGGCCAGTGCCTCCTCCGTGCTCCCGGGCCCCGGCCATGCGGCCTTTGAGAATTTGGGGTCCCTAGGGCCTCTCTGCTCCCAGATTGAGCCAGGAAGCCTCGTCTGGGGCTCCTGTTCCCCAAAGGCCGGTATCCCACCTTCTGGGCCTCGGAGCAGCGGCTGGGCAGGAGGCACCAGGGCACAGGGAGGAGCCCACTTCCCTTCCTGGGTCACCTGGGTGCTACTACCCGGGGGTCCTGGTATCTCGGTTTCCACACACTGGGGGATCGGTTTTCCTGGGAACCTGCAGAAATCCCTGGAATGGCCCTGAGGGTCGCCCTCTTTCTGGCGCCATACTGTCGCTTTCCCCCGGACTTCTGAATTACTGTCTTCCCCAAACTGAGGGGTTTTGAATTCCTGGCCCTGCTGAGACTGCTTCCTTTCTCTTTGACTCTGAGGCGCCCCTTTGCCTAGTCCCGGAATTGACTCTCCGTTATACCCCTGTGGTGTCTCCTCAGGGTGGCCCTGAAGTGAGTCTACCAGCAGTGGCAGCAGTTCTGCTCGCTCACATCTCAGGCCAGTGTCAAGCCGCTTGGAGGGATCTTGAGATGCTGGCAAGCCCTGGGAAGCCAGGTCAGCCGGCTCTGGGGCTTCCTGGCCCAGCTTTCCCTCCTGTGGGCTTCTGAGAGTCTGCCCACCGGAACTCTGAACGTTTGGCTCTGCTTGACTCCTTTCTTCCATCTTGTCTGGGTCCTAGGAAGGAAAAATATTTTGGGCCCAGAAAGTTTGTGCTCTTCCCTCAGCGCCTTGCAGATCACACCACTGCCACCGCCACTACCCACCCACTCTTGCTGATTCCCCGAGTGTGCCAAACCCGTTTCATGTGGTGTAAAACGTCTCAGCAATGGTCCCTCCTTCCTCTAGCTGTAGGAGGCAGCCCCACCTCACCCCAGCAACCTTCTCCCTGGCACACTCCACCCCTGCTGCCCCCTGTCAGGGCCCTTGCCCATGACCCTTTGACCCTTTCACCTTAAACTCTGAGTTTCCTGGCTCCTTGAAGTTACCGCTGCCCATGGGACGTAAGCAACCTACAGAGAAAAGTCAGACATTGACTAATGTCTAGGGCCGTCCAGGCTCTGACACCCATTCCACCGGAATTAGAATGCAGATATCTGGGGTGGGCCCTGTGCATAGGCGAGGGAGGAGTCCCAGGAGTGGCGCTTCGCAATTCATACACCTTCATTCCCACCGCCTGCCATGCACGGCCTACCGTGTGTTTTCTGTGTCTACAAACGGCCAACCCCAACTTCCTCATCTTTTTAGCTCAAAGAGATCTGCACAGTTCCTCGTGCTCCAAGAGCACTACAAGAAGGACGCATTTGCTGAGGTCCTCCTAGGACCCCACACACACACACACACTGTGTGCGCCACACTTTCCCTGCTGTGAAGGAAAACCCTACTCTCTGTTTCTGGCAATAAAATCAAAGGAAATTTACAATGAAATTTTAAACCAGAGCCTGGCTTAAAACTGCCAAGTCTTCATAATTAACAAAAGAAATCCAAAAAGAGGGACGTGCTGTCGCTGCTTCTTGCAGCTGCGGGAAAGAGAGCCTCTCTGCAGCCACGGAACTGAGGGTCTGCTTTTCATTGCTCCTAAACCCAGCTCCTTTGCAAGAAGACTGTTACGTCTTTCCCTTGCAAGGAAAACAATATTCTCAGCAGTAACCACAGGGGTGTGTTTTCTGTGGAAATACATGCGGCTTCAAAGGGCTCTTTGAACTTACAAGATTCTTGACTTTAGAAAATCATTGCCAAAAGGTGGGGAAACACCTACCCTCTTCCTTCTGAGCCCCCATGCCCAGGTAATAGTGTAGAGACTACCCCACCCCAGGTAATATAGTGTAGGGAGTACCCCACCCCCAGGAAATATAGTGTAAGGGAGTACCCCACTCCCAGGTAATATAGTGTAGGGAGCACTCCACCCCCAGGTAATATAGTGTAGGGAGCACCCCATCCCCAGGTAATATAGTATAGGGAGTACCCCACTCCCAGGTAATATAGTGTAAGGAGTACCCCACTCCCAGGTAATATAGTATAGGGAGCACTCCCTCCAGGTAATATAGTGTAATTCGTATCCCTGTCTTTGCAAGAGGTAACATTCTTGTAAAAACTCTGTCAATCAAAAAAGGAACCATTAGCACTCTTCCAAGAGGTAAAACAATTGGAAGCATATAACTTTGAGAGATGCATTGCTTGACACATAATTTGAGAATCAATCAATACAGCAGCCTGGAGGAGGAGAGGCCAGGGCACCATATCCTACCTGCGCACTTCGTATCTTATTCTCTCACAAGGTTGTGATCTCAAAGGCTAGACCAAGTCCTCCCATGTCTCCTGTATGGCACTGGCTTGGCAGAAGGGTAGCAAATGGATAGTCTAGGCTTGCTATTCTGTCCCTTCTCTGTTCCTTCTTCAACTGCTGCCTCTTCCTGTCTTGCCCCAGTTCAGTTCAGAATCCCCCTGGACACAGTGCCCGAGATAGCTGGTGCCAACTCAAAAACGGGCAATGAAACCTGCTTCCATCAGGCATGGTGGTGTACCCATAATCCTGGCACTTGTGAGGCTGAGGCAGGAGGATTGTGAACTGAAGATCAGCCTGGATTATACACCAAGTTCCAAGTTAAGATGACCCATGCAAAGCTGGGCAGTGGTGATGCACACCCAGCCCTTGGAAGGCAGGTTGCTGAGTTCCAGGCCAGGTCCTGGTCTACAGAGCGAGTTCCAGGACAGTCAGAGCTACACAGGGAACCCTGCCTGGGCGTGGGGGAGAATAACAAAACAAAACGAAAGGTGGCCTATATAGCAAGACCCTGTCTCAAAAATAAAGAAAAGAAAAGAAAAGAAAAGAAAATCCTAATTGCCATCCCCAGCTAACTTGACACTCAGTGGCAAGGTAAGCGATGAAGAGTGACCCGGATGAGACTGTCCCTGCCTCCCAATCTAGTCTGGTTTACCAGCTCCAGGAGCGCCGTCTCCCTTGACTTCTGGACATGCTCCTGTTGGTGTACCAAGTGTCGTCTCTGCAGGCATAATGGGGCCCTCCAGCCTTGGGTCAGCATCGCTCCTGGCTTCACCCAGATCTGAGGCAGATGAAGGATCTGTGGACTGTCTCCTGCAGGAGTTCAGCAGCTGCAGTGGGGAGCAGCCTGCCTGCTAGACTCCCTTGACCTTTCAGGCTGCTAAGTCAAGTCGGAATTCAAGGAGCCCCCACCCCAACTCCTGCACCCAGTGGATCCTGGGAGCTGCGGTGTCCTGCCAGGGACTGAGCAAAGGTCTAGAAGGAATTGGAGGAAGGAGGAGGAAGGAGGAGGAGGAAGGATTGCCACAGGAAGTGGGTTCTCTGTCACTGTGAGGCGAGACTCACCCCTTGAGGAGCTGATGGCTCTCACTCGGGGCTTCCCCAGCCTGGAGTGGAGGGTGCAGCTTGGAACTCTGCAGAGATTAAGTGACCCCAGACTCACAGAGTAGCATTCCCCAGTAGGAAGGAAGCTCCCAGCAGGCCTCCCAGCATTCATGCCCTTTGTGACAGTCTTCCTCCAGCCTGGGTGAATTCTTCCTTAGTGGTCACTACTAGCAAACCTCCTATTCCCACAGAGGGTGCCTCAGTCTCGAGAAACCACTAACCTGACCTCAGTGGTGCCATCCCCAGTTCTCAGCTTTGTTTTGGGGCTGGTCACCTAATCAAAGAATCCGCCGAGCTTGAGCCCTGCATGGGGGAGCCCATGGCAAAGGCTGCTCAGCATCTCTGTCTCAGGGCCACACTGGGCACCAGTACCTCTGCCCTCTTGGACCTGCCAGGTGATGTCATTCCTTCTGGGCAGCCACATGGAAAGACTTTGTGTACGGCTCACAGTTGATTTCACCGGCCGGTTGTTAACTGTGCAGTCTTCAAGTTAGGAGCATATGGTATTTGTTGGGTATGGTAGGAAACCTTTTGTCCCACTGAGTCCAGTGGTCCTCCCAATGTTCTTTGAAGAAAGATCTAGAAGGATCTATTATTACCCACATTTATAGCTGAGCAACTGGAAGCTGAGAGTCCGCAGGAAACCACAAAGCAGAAATTTGAACCTAGGCCTGTAAATCCTCAAAGCCCATGCATTGCCCACTTCCCCTCACCCTCTAGACCACCTGGCTGTCACATGGTGCCCCTTCTCACCACACTCACCAGATGCTTAGAGTCCCCATCTAGATTCCTGCCCCAGGATTGGTTGCACTGGTTCCATGCATGCTGAGCCTGGTCTCTCTGGCCATAGACCCTAGCCCAGGGGGGCCAGAAGAGGCCCAGCCCAACTCCAGTCAGCAGCTCCAAGTCCCAGAGAAGCTGCATGAGGATGGGAAGCCAGGAAATGAGGGGATCCACTCTGCCTTCTGCATCTGCTTCCCCCATGTGCTGGCCTCTACCTTCTCCTGGGCCTGTAGGCTCTGGTCCATCTCCAGCAGCATCATGGGTAGCTCCAGCCCTGGGGGACCGTCCCAGCCCTCGTGTACCTGGAGCGGGAATCATGGGTGTCAGATCCCCGGCTACTTGTCCTTTGGAAGCAGCCATCAGCCTTCTGTACCTGTTCTATTGCAGTTTGGAGCTGGCCTAGACCTGCAGGGCGCTGGAAGAGAAGTTGGTGAAGGGTCAAGGCTTGCTTGAGGCTACAGGGGAGTCTTGGATCCCCAGGGGTGGTTGCCTGTGCCATGTCCTCTTCCTCTTCTGTATCTGTATCTGCCACAAGGGCCTCTAGAGAGGTGGAGGACAAGGAACAAAAGCTTGGATCTCAATAATGCAGGGCCCTGACACTTGAGCAGGGCCAGGCTGGGCAGGAGCCTCCCAGGCTCACTCTCGGATAGGTTTCCTGGACCAAAGGCGGAATACAGAGCGTGACACAAGACACCTCAGCGCACGTGCCTATTTGCAGCCCTGGTGAATATTTACATATGCATTGTTCTGGTTTTCTATATGCTGCTGTGGTAAAATGTTCCAACAAAAAGCAACGTAGTGGGGCTGCAGAGATGACTCAGCTGCTAAGAACACTTGCTGTCTTTGCAGAAGACCCAGGTCAGGCCCCCAGCATCCACTTGGCAGCTCACAACCACCTGTCAAACCAGTTCCCAAGGATCCTCCACCCTCTTCTGGTCTCTGTAGTCACCAGGCATACGCATCATGCCCTTGTAAGCATGAGGCAAACACAGACACATAAAAGAAAAATAAATATCTTTAGAAACGCTATTTAGAGGAGAGCGGTTACAGGTTACAGCCCATCACGGTGGGGAAGTCACAGTGACAGAAGAGAGCTGGTCACATCACATCTGTAGCCAAGAGCAGAGAAAAGAAATACATGCGCTTAGTACTCAGCTAGCTTCCTCTACCTGAATACTGTCCAGGGCCCCCAACCAGGGAACAGTGCCATGCATTTTCAGGCTGTGTCTTCCCATGGCAGTTAAAGCAATCAAGACAGTGCCCCACAGACGTGCCCATAGAACAGCTGATCAGGACAAGTCCTTCACTGCCACGCTCTTCCCAGGTGCTCGTTGGCTGTGCTGAGGATTAGAATTAACCACCGCATGAATACATCCATACTTACAAGAATTTTCCACCTGTGTGATCTGGTCACCAGGTAACTACGCTATGTATGGATCATGGTGACAGCAGCATCCCCGGCAGCCTAACATGTCAGGACCCACATGCCTCTGCATGTGATTCCCTCTCGCAGCTCCATGCTATGATCACCCTTAATCACATATCATGAGACTGGCAATGCCTCCCTCACTTGGAGGGACATGACAGACACACTCTGGGAAAGCGTGATTCAGGGACAGTCAGTCCAGCAAGAGCACAGCCTCTGCCACCCGCTAAACATTGTTCCGGCTCATCCCACCCGTGCCTCTTCCTTGCAAGACACATGCTGTTGTTGTTCTCATGTGACACAGGCAAACTATTGCAAGGAAAAGGACCAAATGCAGACAAAGGTCTACTCTACAGTTGAGATGTCAACTATCCCCTGGAAGACCTATGTGTCAAAGGCTTGGTCCCCAGGCTGGCACTACTGGGTGATGCTGTGGTCTTTTAAGG